TGGGGTCTCAAATCAGGAGAGGTCTCTGAAAGGCAAGAGAAGGGAAAACACAGCCATCATTTTCAGTTAGCACCAAAGAGCCTCAGCCACAAATCCTTAGGAAAATACACCTGCCAATCCCAAGGGTCTTGCACCTGCCATGCAACCAAAGCTGATACTATCACCCCCCTTAATAAAACCAGCAAAATGTCAGGAGCTGTTGACAATGCTGAGCGTTGCTGCACACAAGCCGCTATAGTCCTCCTTGATCCCTTGCAATCTTCACGAGCGTCTTGGGAATCGGTCGCTAACCGGACACACATTTGCTTGTTTGTCGACACCGCAGGGAAAGAAGTTGGAAGAGGGGAAGGTTTTGTGTCCTAACAATGAAAGGTCCCCGGTTGACTCATGTTCTTGAGGATGCCTGTAGAAGAGGAGGAGATGTCTGGTGTGGTTTCACAACAGCGGTGACAACACCACAATGTGTGAGTGTCTTTGTTTTGATCCCACCCCAAACATGGAACAATACACAGTTGAGTTGCAGCTCAGACGCCAAACGCAGACACTTCCCTTTTGTATGTAAAAATAGCAATTTTGAAATTGGAAGCAGTTGTCCCAAGTGGGGGAACGTTGGATGGGCCACGGTTGGAGAGCTGGGTGATGGAAGAGGCCAAATCCATCCTAAATTCCCCCAAAACTAATCAATGTGACACGTTTGCCCTTGGAAGGAGGGGACAAGAGAAGCAAAGAAACCTGTTACTGCAACAGCAGCTGGCTTAAATTAGTTGGTCCCATTTTTTGGAGTCTGGACAGTGTCATTAGGAGAAAAGCAGAATTTCGCCATTAAGCGTAATGAATGAATTAATGGATGACTTGTGCTCCTCAAAGGGGGGAAAAAGCGGCTTAAGTCAAGTTATTAACACGGCCCACCTGTGCTTGCCTCTCTGCCTAGGCTGTTTAACTAGCCCATTAAGTCTCGGAGGCAGTCATCTTGAAAGTGAATATGAGTTTTCTGAAGGAGGCCTTTAACTAGCTTCATATAATTCAATTAGAAGGCAACATTCTTGGGTGGAACGCCGGGATTCGACGCTTTCATCTCCAATAATGAAGCGCAGACAACCGCGGCTAATATAGTACAAGAGCAAAACTGAGCCTTAAATGTGTTCGGCCCTTTCTTGGTCCTCCTACTCCCACCTCAAATATCATAGATGAAGGCCAACAAAGAGGACGCCAGCATGCCCGGTCATGTAATGGAAGTCTTCATAAGTTATTTGACACAAGATGCAATGGCCACACGGGAGGGTGAAATGTATTCTTTCCTCCCAAGTTTGACCAAGGTATGTGCAATGCAGGTTGCAAAGCCGAAGGAGGTGTGCTCCATATGGAGTCACCTTGGGGTCTCCATGTAGTTTTTGAAAAGGATGCCAAACTAGTCAGTTTGAAAAAGACATAGGAAGGTGGCCATGAAGATGTCTCTAGGGTGACTTCACTCATGCTGAAATTAGTAAGAGGACAACTCAGTGTTTCCCAGACTTTGGTCCTTCAAGTGTTTTGGACTTCACCTCCCAGAAACCCTAGCCAGTTGGGATAACAATGAGGAATTCCAGGACCTGAAGTCCAAACATCTGGAGAATCAAAGTTTGGGAAACAGTGGGATGACTTCTTGGTGGGAATCCCTGTGTAGATAGGCCCATGCCATGTTCCCAGAGTTAAGCACATCTGTGTCTTGAGTTGCTTCCCATTTTGTGGACTAAGCCAATGTGGCATAGTGGTTAGACTATGACTCTGGAGACCATGGTTTCATTCCCAGCTTGGCCATGAAACCGACTGGGTGACCTTGGGCAAGTCGCATGCTCTCAGCCTCAGGGAAAGGCCACGGCAAACCTCCTCGGAACAAATCTTGCCAAGAAAACTCCATGATAGGTTGGCCTTAGGGTCACCATAAGTCGGAAATGACTTGAAGGCACACAACACCACACACACACATAGGATGGGGGTCATATAGGCCTACTTATTTCTTCTCAATTATGAGAGGCAGTTCCTTCTGTTGGCAGCTCCGAGGCCACATGTTCATTAAGCAAGTCCCCCCTTTCTCCAATTCAAAGGGTTGAAGGCATGTAATGTCAGCTCGAGACCTCCAAGTCACTTAATAAATGGTTTAAGCAAATTCATGAGGTGGGGAGCTGGCCAGCCAGATGTGAGAGGGGCTTCTTACCCTCTGTGTCACTGCCGTCCATCCATCCGTCCATCCACCCCCCCCTCCAAATCACAAATGATCCAACCCCTTTTATCACTTTACAACTTGTTAATGCTGTGCCCCAGGACTTCTTCATCTGTAGTAAACATCTTAAGAAAATATCCCTCCCTTGGGAGGAACCATTGATTTCCCCAGGGCCCTGGTGCATGTAATAGATCCTCGTATGTTTGTGTGTTGTGTTTTGGGTTGGTGTGGGTTGTGTTTTTTTAATAGCATGCAGGTGTCTTTTTAAAAAAATTCTCTCTACCCCCCCCCCAAAAAAAAGCTTTCTTGCAAAATTGCATTGGGGTTGGTCATAAAAGGTCCTCCGTCAAGAGCAGGTAGTCTCTTGGAGGAGGGAAAATGTTTGTGCACCTGTCTAACAACTGGCTGAAAGGCCTTTGGACAGTCACAAGCAAAGTTTTTGCTCATTGTGAGAGACGTCCTTCACCTGAGCACCTCCAGGTAAGCCCTTCTATTTGTTTTCCTATTGTTCACATTCATCCCAAACCAACCTTATGGAGATTTTCTTTGAAAACAGCATCGACCAGTCTTCTGTGCATGTACGTCGGTGCCTCCAAGTCATCTGGTGATGCCATACGGGTTTCCTTAGGCAAGAAGTACTCAGAGGTGGTTTTGCCATTGCTTTCCTATGAAATGTAGCCTAACAGCACCTGGTGGTCATTGGCTCTCTCCCATCCAGGTCCTAACCAAGGCTGACCCTACTTAGCTTCCAAGATCAGACAGGATCTGGTGCCTTTAGGGCAGTGATTCCCAAACTTTGATCCTCCAGATGTTTGGGACTTTAGCTCCCAGAATTCTTGACTATTGACCAAGCTGGCTGGGGCTTCTGGGAACTGAAGTCCAAAACATCTGGAGGACCAAAATTTGGGACTCGCTGCTTTTGGGGTATCTAGGCCTCTTCAGTAGGTCTTAGCTCACCAGTAGTTCTTTGTCTTTGAAAAAAAGGGCTCTTGGAGAAGATGGTTTTATAGCCAGGTTTTGTAGCCCTTGTCTACTACTTATAAGTAAATCCCATGATATTCCAGAGTGCTTACTCCTAAGGACAAGGAAGGCATCTGTTTTGATGAAGTATTATGTATTATCCTGTATTAAATCAGCAAGCCTCACAATAGCCCTATAATGGAAAGCTGGATGATTATTCCCATTGAACAGATGGAAGGACTGAGGCTGACAGAGAAAGAGGCATAGCACAGGGCCACTAAGTGAACCCATGGCAAAATGAGACCTGAAAAATCGGGAGGAAAGTGGATTGTTTTACGGATAACAGTCATGTTCTTGGAAAGCTGTTGGGTCAGTCCACAGTCTGAAGGATTTATCCAACCTAAATCGAGTTTATAAATGGAGAATAGAGGTCATCTTGTCACAATCTGCTCTGCTTTTGAGAGAATGGGATGTACTGTGTTTCTATGCAAGTAGTAGCAATTGTTCCTGAAAATTCTCAATGCTCATAAACTAGCACTTGCAAATTTATGCAAATCTCACCTTCTTTTTAAGTAATGCGCTTCTTCTCTCCCCCCTCTTTTTATTCTCTTTTTAAATTCTTAATTTTAGAACAAGGATTGATTTGGTCTGAAACAACAGGAGATAATTGCATGTGTTTTCCTGCCCCCCGCCACCTTTGTAGACATCCATTAGTATATAGAATATACACCTTGCTGATGTCCCTTCTGCAAAGAATTACTGAAGTTTTGCCAAACTTTGTACCTGAGCATCCCCCAAAACCATTAACTGAATCTGAACCTACACACAGCTTCACAAGCCAGAAATATTTCCATCTTGGAATTTCAATTAACCTACTTGGCACCCTTTCCAAAGTTGCATTTCTTGGATGCAACTTAAAAGTGCACTTTTGCACACAAATGTAACATCATCTGACTTATCTAGCGATGACGGGAAATGCCATCAGGTCACAAAGGATCATTTTTCCACTGTGGCTTCTCATTAAAATTCTTAAAAGCCCAAAGACATCCGTTTTGGACCCAAAGTGTTGCAGATGGCAGGCAGGTGGGTGGGATCAGTGGAAGCAAATATCGATTCAAAGGTCACAAGCCAGCCAAAGTTAAGCGCTTTGTCGTCCCATTAATTTCACCGAAAGAATTGAGGAAATACCTTAAACTCTCTAGCACAAGGAGCTTTCAAATCCTAGCCTTTTTTATCCACGGATTCAAGCATCCACGGTTTGAAAATATTCCAAAAAAGACAATCAGTTCCAAAAAGCAAACCTTGATTTTGCATTTTTATATAAGTGACATCATTTTGCTATCAAGCATCCACTGTTGTTAAATATTCCAAAAAGACAACCAATTCCAAAAAGCAAACCTTGACTTTGCATTTTTATATAAGTGACATCATGTTGCTATCGATTGTATTTAATGGGACTTGAGCATCCATAGATTTTGGTATCCAAGGGGAGGTTCTGGAACCAAAGCTCAGCGGATACCAAGGACCCACTATACTTTGGTGGAGAATAAACTGGAACAGATAGTAGATTCCAACTAAATATTAGGAAGACTACCTCTTAAGGGAAGGTACTCTACTTCATTGGTAGCTTTTAAACATGTTTATGCTGGCCTTGGGCCGTAATACAGATATATATAAACAGATGTAAGATGACAATCTCACAGGGATGGCTTGACTGGATTCTGGCACTGGGAAGAGGTTGGACTAGGTAGCCCTTGGGTACCTTCCAATTCTATGTTTCTCTTCCAAATCTAACATTTCTCCTCCTACCCTGGCTTTCAAATTTGCTTCACCTCATTTTAACAGTGGTGCAGTGGTCTGAGTGTTGGACTGAGACTCCAGGAGACCAGGGTTCGAATCCCTGCTCAGCTGTGGAAACCAGTGGGGCAAGTCATACTCTCTCAGCCTCAGAGGCAGGCAAAGGCAACCTCTCCCCCCCCGAAGGAAACTTGCCAAGAAAACCCTGTGATAGATTTGCCTTAGAGTCACCATAAATCAGAAATGACTTGAAGGCACACATCATCATCATCATAATCATCATAATCATCATCATCAATAGTAACAGTGAAGCTTGTGAATCCTCTCCTTGCCCTCCAAACCTCAAAACATAGATTTGTCTGCCAATAACTCTCAAACATAAGAAATGAGTGGAGAAGGAAGGAAGGAAGGAAGGAAGGAAGGAAGGAAGGAAGGAAAGATCGATCTCCACTTTGTTCTTCTAAGGCTGCATCTGCACTGCAGAACTAATCCAGTTTGACACCATTGTCATGGCTGAATGCTATGGAATTCTGGGAATTATAGTTTTTTTCTGGCACCAGAGCTCTCTGACAGAGAAGGCTCAATGTCTCACAGAAGTACAGCTCCCATATCATCTCTTACTGTTGGGATATTTCAAAGGTTTTAACTGGTTTCTATGATATATTTTACATCACCTGGAAATCTTTGGATACGGGGCAGGATGTGAACCCTTGAGTAACTAAAATATTGATCTAAATCCTAAATCCTATGCTTACAGTCAACCCACTGAATCAATGGTATTTACCCTGTAAATACTCACTGTCCAACAATTAAGGCAATGGGTTTACTCTAGTTTAACCAACTGATTTCAGCCATTTTCAGTCAATGAATGCCAGAAATGTAATGAAGAAATACATGGAAATGAAAGCAAATGGCTGATATTCATTTCCTCATGATGACTACCAAATTTAAGGCTCAACGTTTATCATTACTTTTTTTAAAATGAGAAAAATCTGCCACATAGACCAATGATTTCTCGTCCTCTTCTCTTTTTTTTTTTCTCCTTCTCCTTTTTCTGGGTTTTAAAAACTTTTTAATTTGTGCTTTTAACTTGTGATTTTTTTTAAAAAAATAAAAACTAGAACTCTGGCTTTATTGTATTTTAGCTTTCAATAGTTTTAAGATTAATAGTCCTTTTTAAAAAAAGTTGTATTGTGTATTTTAAATAGTTCTAAGCTGCCCTGGATCCTGTCCTAGGAGAAAGATGGAATATATATTAAATAAATACAATTATTATTGTTGTTGTTGTTATCCACAAAATAGTCAAGCATTACTTTCCTTCCTTTCCTAGCAGCAGATGGGACTATTTAGGCAGAGCAACATGTATATTATGTACTACTTGAAAGCACATAGTGATAAGTTATGGAGGAGACTCAAATATTTCACTTTTCTTATTTAAGGCCAATTTTTAAAGCTGCCTTCTGATGGATATTGGATTGCTATGTACCTGCCTTAAGAAACACAAAGTTCTACAAATCCATTTGCTTTATATCCTCCATTACATTTGTCCTTTCGAGTGCAGGCAGCGGATGAAAAAAGAAATCTGCATTTGAGAGCTTGGATTGTCAATTACGCAGTAATATATTATGGCCTTTTGCCACTCTGTCACATCATGTCTTCTGGTGAGTCTCAGCAGCTTCCCTTGATAAAGCTGAAAAGAAGAGAAAAATCACAGAGAAAATAAAACAACACACACACACATATTTGAAGAAATCAATGCTTCCCAAGAATTAATTTTGTTCCCAATAAAAGAGAAGGGCTTGGGAATCTGGTTGGGAGTGTTTCTCTCTTGCGTAAAACAATCCTGTATATATATATATGAAAATGGCCTTAAAAAAAGGCTTTAAAAATCTATATTTAAAAAATAAAATAAATTTACTTTCAAGAAATAGGATGTGGTCTTTAAAAAATGGAACATGAAAGCGCTCTGTTTCAAGGGTTTGGATGTCAAAAGTCATATCTCTGTAAATTCACAAGCAGGTCTTAGAAATATCTGTAGCAATTGAATGAAAGGTTGCAAATACGCTGGAAATGTGTTTTTGGGTTCTTGTGCAGAGTCCCCCATCTATACGAAATCACCAAATCTCTTTCCAAAGAAAAGAGGAAGAATCTGGGTTTCAAATGGCGACAAACCATTAATTTCAAGGAAGAATGGCAAACAAGTCATTCATCTCTTGTTCCCCCAAATCCACAATTTGAAAACTCTTTAAAATGGATTGGTTTGGGTTTAGTATGTGTTGCATCCAAATTCCAGGTTTAGTATTCACAGCAAACAATATTTGGGGGATTAGGAGATCAAAAGTGTTGCCTTCGTCCATTTTAAAAATAAAAATAAAAGATCAAGTTCTTTCAATCCCATTTATGAGGAAGTTTTAGGATCTGGGTGTGTTTTCCTTTGGAGAGAAAAAAACCTGGACCATTTCAACCATCCTTAATTTCAACAGAGCAGTAAAATTTTTGTTAAAACATTTCCCAGAGGGACTTTAGCAATGTGAATTAATTCTGTCTGTCTGTCTGTCTGTCTGTCTGTCTGTCTGTCTGTCTATCTGTCTGTCTATCTATCTATCTATCTATCTATCTATCTATCTATCTATCTATCTATCTATCCATCCATCCATCCATCTATCCATCCATCCCATGAGGATCAAGGGAATTTACTCTCAGGCAATTGGGATTGTAAGATACTTTACTTTGGTTGAATTATGTGCATAACTGGAAGAGGTGATCTTTTTAAAAAAGAAATCTTTTGAATTAAAGTTTATGATCTGAAAGGAAGCTTTAGGATCTAAAAGGGACATTGTGAGTTTTTGTTTTTGTTTTTATTTTTAAAAAAAATTCAGTGGTTTTAAATATATATACATCGACTAGGGAATCTTGGCTGTCTCCTTGATCAAGTCTCCATCATTTGAGAATAAAGGACCAAATGGTTTTGAGATTCTCTTTGATTCTGCCTCAAAATCTGAGACTATATTCGATTAAAGCACAATTTCCATGGATAGATTCTACATTTCTTTGTGGATTATTAGTGCCTAAATCCAATTGTAACTCTTACATACAGTAGACCCACTGAATAGTTGAATGTACTTCAGTGTTGACTTAACCAGTTCCCATTGATTCAATGGCTTGATTCCAATGGGTGCTAGCAACTGGATTTAAGCCCTAATCCAGGGATGGAGATCATGTGGCTCTCCAGATGTTCTTAGATTGCAATGCCCAGTAGCCCTAGACAACATTGCCAAGGGTGAGAAATGCTGGGAGGTGCAGTCTAACATCATCTGGAAGGGGTCCATGATTTCCAACATGTTCTTGTGTTTATTACTTATTTCACTGCAATTTAACTTTCCTTCAAAGGACTTACTGTGATTTCCGTTTGAGAGAGATATATATTGAGAAAGAACAGGAGGGAAATATGGACTGGCTTCAAGTGAGCTACTCAGTGAGCTATATGTCTAAATGGGAATTTGAACCCAGGTTTCCCTGGACATTTAACCACTACATCTTAATCCCCCTGGTTCCTTTTCTCTTAACAGTCAACAGTTTTTATCCTTTTCCATTTTAATGTTGTACTAGTTTAATCTATTTTTAAGGGGTGGGTGGGTTAGGGAATTGGGTTGATGGATTTAAGTTTTAATCCCTTGTACTGTTTTAATTTGTTTGTACGCCGCCCCATTGCTGAGCAAAGGGGCGGGATAAAAATAAAATTTATTATTATTATTATTATTATTATTATTATTATTATTATTACCTAATGATTATTTCAGAGGCACAATAGCTATTTCCCTCTTAGGATAAACCATTCCAGGACTGAATGCATCCTTTGAATATGCACTGTCAGCTGCATCTGCACTGTAGAAATAATATGGTGTGACACTGCTTTAACTGCCATGGCTCAATGCTACGGACTTCTGGGATTTGCAGTTTTGTGAGACATTGAGCTTTCTCTGTCAGAGTGCTGTGGGGTCACAACAAACTACAAATCCTGGGATCCCATAGTATTGAGTCATAGTGGCTAAAGTGCTGTCAAACGGCATCATTTCTGCAGTGCAGCTGGAGCCTTAGTTGAATAAAGAAGTAGCTGGTGATTCACCTATCAGTGGATTGGTGAATCCTCTGTAGGTTTTAGCCCAAACTTTCAGGAACCATTGGAAGTGCTGAACCAAATGGGTGAGTGCGGGAGAGATTGAGTTCAGCACATTGGATAGCTCCTTTAAAGTCAACATTAAAACCTGAAGTGGATTCACAGTCCCATCCGTTCTCCCTGGCTTGCAATTTGCCCACCCTTCAACTGGCCTAAAGATTATCACAAAATGGCAAAGCAAAGCTCAAAGAATGGGAAATTAAAACTTGTAACTATTCTACAGTGGGATGGGGGGAGATTTTGAGGGCTTGTTGTTGGGGTGTGCCTTCAAGTCGTTCCCGACTTATGGAGACCCCAAGGTGACCCCATCATGGGTTTTTCTTAGCAAGATTTGTTCAGAGGAAGCTTGTCATTGCCTTCTCCTGAGGTTGAGAGAGTGTGACTTGCCCAAGGTCACCCAGTGGGTTTCATGGCCAAGCAAGGGTTTGAACCCTGGTCTCCAGAGTTGTAGTCCAACACTCAAACCACTACACCACAAGGGCAAGGATCACAAAAACTCACCAGGGCTCCCTTGACTTTTTTGTTGCTGCCATTTTGAATTTCCCCCAGAATGCCTTGGATTAATGCTACCACTTGCTGCAATCTTACTTCAGGGCAGTGGCGCTCAATCTCTGGTCCTCCATTTCTTTTGGACTGCAGCTCCCAGAGAGCCCAGCCAACTTGGCCAACAGTCAGGATGGATGGGAGCTGAAGTCCAAATCCTCTGGAGGACCAAAGTCTGGGAACCAAACTTTCTGTTCATTCAGAATGAAGGCTGATACCAGCACATAGCAGAAAAGCACATATGTGAGTTTCACATCTCCACCCTCAAATTCTCCCCCGCCATAGCAGAAATACTTGCTGCGTTTCTCTGCATTTGGACCTGGGGGGAAAAATGTGCGTGTTTAGCATTTTCATTTAATTTTTTCATTTAATCCTAATCTTCGTCTATTCAATT